CAGTTCATAACAGTGCTTTTCATCTAACCACAACTTACATTATATATATATATATATATATGTATATATATAGTAAAGTAGACGTTATCTGAGAGGGTGTTGCACGTGGTACTGTTAGGCTGACACCGTTAGGCTACAGTCGAAGCACCAGGGTGCGTGCTGTTGTATACAAGGTGGCGGCGCATATTTGCCTCCACAAGAATCAAGGCGAACACATGGCGAGCCAAAGGCAACTTATCCACATCATGTTGCACGTGGTACTGTTAGGCTGACACCGTTAGGCTACAGTCGAAGCACCAGCGGGGGTGCTGTTGTATACAAGGTGGCGGCGCATATTTGCCTCCACAAGAATCAAGGCGAACACATGGCGAGCCAAAGGCAACTTCCACATCCACATCAGCCAGTATTCTTGCTGTCAGTCTCTGACTGTGGTCGCTATGCGAGCCAAGCTGTGTGCCACATCACGACGATTGAGGATCACTCGAAGTGGCTTACAAAAAGACATGAACATGAAACTAGGTGCCAATAGACTTGTGCTAGATGACTGAATGCCCACCTCGGAAAGAACACAAAAATCCAATCAGCTATGACACTTCTTCGATACGAAGTTCTCATGCAAAGAGGGCGGAAATACGCAGGCCTGGACAAGAGGAACTGAAAGATCAAGCAAGGACACAGTCTGCACGCAGCTTTATACACGGATGCGTTTTATATGCGGCAAATCCTGTATGTTCTTTTCAAACGTTTCCCCTGCGTTCGGTCGAGAGATGACGACTGACAGGTACTAACAGGTGTCCTTGAGGTTCTGGACATGAATCAGGCGGATCTTGGAAACTATGCCCATCTTGTTACACCAAAGGTTTGTGCAGGACGACCGATGGTGCGGGGTAGTGCGAAAAAGGTCATTTTCTTCTTGTCGACGGCGATAATGAGTTCATTGTAAGTTTGTTCGTGTCTAGCCAGTCTTGCAATGTTGCTTCTAGACTATCGAAGTCTCTCCCCAGGTTGACCGGAGAGAAGATCTATTCCTCACTCTCATCATCATAATCCCATGCATACGCAAGTTGGGTGTTCTGTTCGCTCGAAAAGCATGTTAGGGCTTTTAAACAAGCACAGCAACGTCAGTCCGTGCTGAAAGTCCAGGACCCAGGGCACCGACTCGGGTTTTTTTCAATAGATCCATTATATAGACTAGGATGAGATGGTCGAAGCGGACACGTCGACCAAATTCCATTAATTTACGAAAACATAGTTTAGCGTACAGTAGTACAGTACTACTTACGATACGCGGACTGCAATCTTTGCCTACTTTTTCCTTCCTTCGATGTCAGGCGACAATGTCGGGATAAAATTTGTTTCAAAGAAGATTTAGTTATGATGTCAACCTGCAGGTTAAAGCAATCGGTCCCAAAAAAGTCGAGAAGTAATGTACAAGTCTCATCCTTGTTGTGAACCATTAGTAGTGTGCACTTTACAAATCAGTAGGTCGATTCGAACAAGGGACCTTCCGGTCATCAGTTGAGTTGTATGTCATCCGGCCAAAAATGGTTCAGTGGTTACAGCACGAATTTACTGACCGGAGGATCCGTAATTCCAACTCGACCTCTGCATTTCGACTTCTTTTGTTTAGGCTTAGGCGACCTGGCGGTGTCCCAGCCCTCGTGCTTCCTTTGAAAGGCATAGCAGCTACGCGGCGAAAAGGTGTTACAGCTGAACGATTTTTATGCAAGAGTGGCGGATTGGTCGCGTGGCTAACTCACCACTGATCCTTCAGTTATGCAATGCATATTGGTGATATGTTAGCATCTGGCTTCTAAGATGGAATTCTCTCCCGATTCATGGCCTCTTTCCGCTTTTTGAGGAAATTACTTATGGTGAGGGAGGAGTAGATTCGGTTACGTGAGATCTACATCGCGAATGCTGGTAGGCACTGGCCGCTGTGAGTTCATATTCGTTTAATATCACGGAAAGTAAGACGAAGAATTTAATGTTGGTCCCTGATTTTTCCATCTTTCGATGCTATCCTCGGCTCCACATTCGATTTTCCTAGTAGCCAGGATCACACAACCAGTATACACAGGTTCCATAGATGACCGTCGCACTGTCCTGGAATAAATGAAATGTTTTTTATTGTACTGTGAGGTATTCATCAATAGGGAAAGTTCCCAAGGGTAGATAACAAGAGCTCAAGCCGGAATGGGGAGCGAAGACCGAAAGACTTCAAACACAGGACTGGCTGTCATTGATCTGAACTACTTGGCACAAAAAAATCATTCAGCTGTAGCAACCTTTCGGTGTCTAGCTGTCATGCCACAGGTACGAGGGCTGGGATACTGCCAGCTTGCCCAAGCCTAGACAGGAGAAGTCGAGAGGCAGAGGTCGGGTTCGAACCACGAACCTTCCGGTCAGTAAATTCGCGCTCTAACCACTTGGGCCATCCTTGTTCTTCCTAATTTTGTCTGGACAGGCTTCGGACTGTTACCAATAGCAGAAACACAACTGAAAATGACATGTGCTGTGCCATTTTAGGTAAACTTCATTGTTTCGTGAAACAATCATGGGATCCTCATCAACCGCTATCGATTGAAAAGTAACTAAATATCATTTCGTTCTAAAAAAACTTTGTTCTTCTTTTGGATTGGACTCGTAAATTAATAGTGAAATTAACAGTGGTAAACATTGGTATGATGAAGGTTGATGAAGGTTTTTGGACATCAACCATATGATTAGTAGCACACGCTGGAAAGTATTCGATACCTTGAACATCGTTCTAACCAAAACATGAGACCGCCTATGTGCTGCACATTCAGTTGCATAGATAGCATGGATGAGAGATTAGACCGGGATCTAGTTGAGTCAGCGGTTCGCATCAAACTAATATTCAAACAAGTGTTCATCGCAAATAATCACACGTTAGTCACATAGCAGTTAAGAGCACTTTATCACATTCTGTTGCGGCTCGACAAAATAGATAGAGGGATGATGAAGCTGAAAGGGACAGTCGGTACAAAATAGTTCAAGAATCATTTGTTCATGGAGTGTCAGGGAACTAGCTAAGTCGAGAATCCGAAGGGTTATACCATTTGAATAAACATTGTAAAGGTTTGGCTATGCTCTAGTGGCGGAATTCCCTCCAGACAACTTGCGATCATATTCCGCAAAATCAGACGGCCTTCAACCCTCTTTTGGATTTATGTAACTCTCTAAGACAGACAGATTAGTTAGGCTCGGTCAGGTGTGGCGAAACGTTATCTCCGGATCATGGACAGTGGAATCAAATCTTCGAACAGCACATCTTGTGACACTTGACTTTCAATAGGTTGCCACGTATAATTTAATGGTCACAGTGAATTCAGCAATTGGGAGATGAATCTCATCATGCATTGGTAATAGGGGGACAGGGATTGGTACGAAATTAAATCAACCACTGACTATCGGTTCACCGAATGCACGGATCCAGCTGAAGATGATGCTTCTTGAAAGGAAATTTCATCGGAAAGATGGGGTGGTGGCATATCCAGTGAAAAGTATAATAGAACACCCAGACGACAAAGTGTTTCTCACTTTCGAACAACGCTCACCCACGGAATCGGCTGAGAATGAGCCTTTATTGGGAGCACAGTCGATTGGGTGGTATACCCTTTCGTAGCATTTCTATATCCGTGAGAGGCATTGGAGCCGGGACATTTTACGCTCCACTTGGAAGCACACTATCCTGTATATGATACTGTCTACAAACGGCCTCCGGCCATGTAACAAGGTCTGGATCCATTTGCTTTGGACAGTGGCGACGAAAAAGCATCAGCCGGATAACCAGTACTCATCAGCGTTATGGATTCAAAATCTAATACACTAGTTTTTCACCCTCGAGAAACTCCGTTTTTGGGAGTTGGCAGGGTGACTTCCCTTCCATTACAATTCACCCTCAAGTAACCCTCGGGATCGAAAGAAAGTGGGCTTTGTGGATCCTACGATTAACCCTCAACCGATTAGTGAATAAAACATTAAAAGACAGGCAAGGGGTGGTGGTCCGGTGTGTAAGTAGCTGTAATTAGCTGGCTGTGAAAGCCTCAAATTCTTCGGATGATTGAACAACACTCTGCGTAGGCAGACAACCAAGGGTGTGTACAGTCCCGTTAACACCTTTAAAGCTAGTGGTCGAGATGTTCACTGAGCTGAGCAATTTGTAGCCAACGATTCATCACTAATCGAAGCGACATCACCAATCTGTTGTTGTAAAGTATAGTGGAGGGGGGACCTCGTCAGCTTTAAAAATCCCAAATAGTTCTTCTTCCTCCGCTGAGACGATGAGAAGCAAGTCCGGTAAAGCTGTCCTCCCACTAATAGACCAATAGGTTGATCTGCGACATTTGATGTTGGGACTGGAGCTAGTGTGGATATCTGTATGCGGATGTAATACACTACTCATAAGGTCGCTGAAAATTTGACAGCCACGACCGGTTTTGCCCTTATTGGGGCTCATCACGTAGGCGCAGTCACTGAGTTTCCGTTAACCTTATGTTCTGCTTGAAACCAAATTGGATAGATTCAGCTGGATTCCGTTGAGTCTCCTGTGAAAACCCCATTCGTGTGTAAATGAGAGTAGTTGTCGAGATCTGTCTCATCTGGATTCGCGCATGTTGATGGAAACTCGGGGGACTGAGCATACTTGATGAGCCCCAAGAAGATCGAAACCGGTCATGGGCTTTCGAAGAGTTTTCAGCGGCCTTATGAGCAGTGTGTTAGGAAATCGACTAATTTCATATTAGCCATGCATACAAGTGTGGTTGGTAGCCATACGGTGGTACACGGCAAACGGTGAGAACTCTAGCTTTTCCCTGCCTCTGCACAGACACACAGGATGAAACAACGACAATTCTGAACTGCCGGCGTGAGATCGAATAACTGATTGAAGCCGATTGACTACGGGGAAGTTGAGAACATGAGATGGTAAGAAGAGCACGGCTAACTGATGATAGATATGAAAAGTTCGGGACCGACCGAATAAACACTGGGAAAGATGTGGTAAATAAAGGAAAACTGAAGTGAAAACACGGTGTTGAGAATAGAATAAACGTCTACCAGTCTGTTCGGCCTTGCTTGTTAACTATGCCGTCAGACAGAGACACAAAACCAGCGTAACATTAGCGTCCCATAGACTGGTGCTTCGCTGCCGTACAACCATAATTTATTTGAAGGACGTAGAATTGGAGTCAGTGCACACAACATAACTCACTTACCTTAGATGGGTCAGCGGAAAATAGTCGGGTCAATGTCGAGAATCCCAGGGCGTTTATCCCGGTGATTAGCCATACGGTAGCCAGGAGTGGACCACGACGACCCACGCACGAAGGCCGATCTGTGAGCCATCCAACACCGAGACGAGCAACCAGATCTACTGCACCGGATATAGCGATGGCCCGACTGATCTTGTAATGGCAACAGCGAATAAGATTATTTAGAATTACTCAACGGTGACCGACAAGCAAACCAAATTAAATGGCACGTATGAGAACGAGTGAGACACAGGGAACGGATAACAAGTGGCGTGAGAGCTGGCGAGCAGACATAAGACGATATACGAGATCAGTCCCATTTTCGTTCATTAACTATAACCACTTTTATCAGATGAAAAGGTAACCGTCCTATAGATAGTATAGGGAGTTTGCAGCCTATGGTTCGTCGAGGAACGTGCTACACGAAGATGACGCTTGACAATGTAAAACAAACATGGTCCCAAGTGAATCAATCGAGAGCGGACAGTCTCTTTCGAGTCCCTCACATGGTACGCTTCCCTCAAATTTTGCCAATCAAATATGAATGGAATAGGGTTCGGTTGCTCGGAAGGGTTCTGAGTGTATAACCCAAAGAGTTGGCAGCAGACAGTTGTGTCTGTGCCTTTGTGACAACATGCAGTCATCAATTGATGTGATCGCAAAAGCTGTGGTGCACACCGACAGTTACTGGTACACACAACAACAACCAACAGCTACGCCGAACATACCTTACTGACTGCTTCGCGAACTAAAGAAGCATATAGTGAAGATCCAACCCCCTATGTCATCTCTTATGCCACCACAGACCATCTACTTGGACATGCCCAAAACTGTCCAACACTGTCTTAAAACATGGGGGCGGCGACAGTCTCTCATTCACTTGAAGAGATTAAGCGAACAACACTCAATCTCCACAAGACAACAACTGAATTCCGTTATATCTAAACTCTAATACCTGATTGTCGATTCTCTCTAGGGTCTTCAACTCAGCTCAATCTCAGTTAAGTCACTTTCATTCCTCATCAGGCCAATTGAACGCCCTCAGCGTACCCTTCAGGTTATTAGCCGCTCCCTGTTGTGATGCTACATCCAAGTCAGCCTGAGTTAAAATAGCCTTACACACCTAAAGCCGTCTTTTGGTTCCAACTAACCCAGCAACCCACCTAAAACAACGAGTGAGGTCTTATAGATCTTACTTTTTTATTAAGGAACAAATAAAAATCAAGCTGTTCAGCTAAATTTCGACTGCCGACTGAAGCCCGCACACGAACCCAGGATTTCATGGACTCGAAGATTTCCTGTCCTATAAGTAATCCCGGCTGTATCACTCATCCAGAAGGAGTGTCCCAGGTTGGTGGAAAACTGTAAATAATTGCGGGAATGTTGTTTCGAAAGAATTATTCAGTGATGATTGAATGAAGTGGTTACCCAATATCAATGTGGTACACTTCGTAGAGAACTTCCCCAAAGTTCATTAGACGCTATGGCTGTCACTTGGCTTCCGTCAGTTTGCTTCTCTACATCTTGCTTTCCAAAATCAACGCATTAGAATCGTCATCGTCCTTCTGATTTAGCTAAGTATAAATGAATCGTAAGATAATACGGGCTTCGACTAGTAACACAAGCCTGGAAACACTGTAAATTGTTACTTTTATGTCAGTTCAGATATTCTCAAGGTCACAAATTCACAGGGAATTTTTCGAAACAGACTTCTCCCGTCCTATGAGAACAGCATCCTATGCATACTCGAAATGGCACTTTTATGTGTTATTTCTTTACGAGCATTTGGTTAATCATTTATTTAAAACCAGAATTAGTACTTGAACGTGTTGCGATAAACTGTCACGAAGAGACTGGACCTTATCGTGCTGTGGCGGTTTGTGTACCTCGGCGACCCATTGAGCTATACCGCGGGGTGTCCGCTCGACACTCACAGAGTCTCTCATACCAGGTTGGTCAATGGTTAGAGGTCTGACGAACACAGTCTCCTGGTCCTCCAGGTTGGGGGTTGGAACATGTATGGCGACTTGTTCCGTAGAAGAGGTAATGCATTTGCATTTCCCCGCCAAACACCGCTGCTTTGCGGTTAGGCTTTTGAGCCAAAGGCTTTGGTTGAGGACCCTAATCGTCCTCCTGTCTAGGTGTGGGCGCCCTGGCAGTATCCCAGCCCTCGTACAACCATGACCTACACAACTAACAATATTCTCATGCCACATCGGCCGTCGCGTGGTGCCATCAGCCGGGTCGCCTTACTTGCTGCATACAGCAGGGCGAGTAAGCGAAAACAGGCTACTGCTGA